ACAAAGACTGAATGACCCTTAAAGTCTAAAATATCTACCATCTGGCAAGTTTGCAGACTCCTAGTTTAGAATAAAGTTCCTGGGCAGTCGCACCACATGAGGGCAGTATAGCCTCAGTACGTGATAATTGAGTCTACAAAAATAAGGAATCACAACAGGGATCACAGAAATGAACATATTTTTTCCACCTATAGGCTCCTTTCTCTAATTTACAAACATGCACAAGTCTATTTTGTCCTGAAAACCTCTATGACAAACACCGCTCCCTCCTCTATCTACCATGACTAATAAGAACAGCTTCGGGCTGGGCACGGTGGCTCACGCCTGTAATCCAAGCACTTTGGAGGCCAAGGTGGGCAGATCACCTGAGGTCGGGAGTTCAAGACCAGCCTGACCAACATGGTGAAACCCCATCTTGAGGAAAAAAAAAAAAAAAAAAAAAGACAGCTTTAGCCCATTGTCTTTGTTTCTTCAGCACCTAGACAATTCTGTGTCACCAAACTTGGGCTTGGGCTTCAAAATTCACCTGTCCATTGAAACTGCTCTTCAAGGTAGCCAGTGACCCCACTTCACTGCATTTTCTACATTCACTTTCTTATATTTCTAAGAGATCCCATCCTTCTTGAAATCATCTTCACCATGACACTCCATTTTCTTAGTTCTCTTCCTTATCTCTCTGGCCACTCTCACAGTGACAATGCTCTTTTTTCTCCTCCTATAACCTGTGTTCCCTATTCCACTCTGTTTAAAATGGGCATCAGTCCAAATAAATGCTGTTTTTGCTCTTGCAAATTATTAGCCATACTAAGTTTGGGAGTCGGATTGCTAATTAGTAAGGGGCAGGGCCAGGGTTTAGTATGCAATGGGGCCAAGTAAGAAGGAATTGATATTAACTGAAAAGGTCTGGTCAAGTACCATGTCCCCAGGGCAGACCACATGAGTTGAAGGGTGAACACAATCTTTCTCAGCTTCATAATCCCACACTTCATGATCCAGTCGATTTTTGGGGCCAGACCCAAGTATAATCCTTTGGGTCTTTATACTGTGTCCTCTGACAGGGAACACCTGTTCCATTCCTGTTTCCTGGGTAACACAGGAGCTCCATAGGATGAAAAAAAAAATGCAGTTCCATTGCTAGCTATAAGCACTATACTTGCAGTTACTATAATTAGCTGAGGGCTCTGGGAATTTAAAAATTAACCAGATGTAGTGGTGCAGGCCTGTCGTCCCAGCTACTCAAGAGGCTGAGGTGAGGATTACTCGAGCCTAGTAGGTTGAGGCTGCAGTGAGCTGTGATTGTGCCACTGCCCTCCAGCCTGGGTGGCACAGAAAGACCCTGTCTCAAAAAAAAAAAAAAAAAAAAAAAAAGATGTATGATTTTTCAAATATTTTCTCCAACTTTGTGAGTTAGCCTTTTACTCTCTTGATAATGTTTTTGATGCACAAAAGGTTTTAATTTTCATAAAGTCTAAATTGTCTATGCTTTCTTTTGTTGCATGTGCCTTCGGTGTCATATCTAAGAAATCATTGCTAAATCCAGTACTGTGAAGTTTTGCCTGCGTTTTCTTCTAAGAGTTTTATAGTTTTAGCTCTAAAATTTGTCTTTCACCCATGTCAATTTAATTTTTTATGTGATGTAAGGTAAGAATCCAACTTCATTCTTTTGCGTGTACATATCCAGCTTTCTCAGCACCATTTGTTGAAAGGACTGTGCTTTCCTCATTGAATGGTCTTGGCTCCCTTATAAAAAATTATTTGACTGCATGTTACAGTTTATTTCTGGGCTTTCTTTTCTATTCCATTGGTCTATATGTCTTGCTTTATGCCAATACCACACCTCTTGATACTATAGCTTTGTAGTGAGTTTTGAAATCAGAAATGTTGGTCCTCCAAATTTGCTCTTCTTTTTCAAGACCGTTTTGCCTTTTTCCCTGTAAATATTGAAACCCTCAAGAATATCTTTGGTAAAAGGTATAGACCTGTCTCCCAGGCATGTGTCCTTAACTTTGGTAAATAAACCTCCTAAAATGACGGAGACTTACCTTGATCATTTTCCTTGATTGACAGATTCAAGATGTTCACCTGATATTAATAAGACATTATTGCTTTGAGTCATTTTTACTTTTTTTCTTGTAATTGATTTAATGTTTTAATTGAACATTATATATATATATATATACACAAATTTATTTATTTATTTATTTATTTATTTATTTATTTATTTATTTATTTATTTTTGACACGTACTGTCACTCTGTTGCCCAGGCTGGAGTGCAGTGATGCAATCTCGTCTCATTGAAACCTCTGCCTCCCAGGTTCAAGCAATTCTCCTGCCTCAGCCTCCTGAGTAGCTGGAATTACAGGCATGTGCCACCAGGCCTGGCTAATTTTTTGTATTTATTAGAGACGTGGTTTCGCCATGTTGGTCAGGCTGGTCTCAAACTCCTGACCTCAGGTAATCTGCCCACCTGGGCCTCCCAAAGTCCTGGGATTACAGTCATAAGTCACCATACCCAGCCATATTTTATTTATAATTAAGAAAAAATACCAATACAACTATTTTGTTTTGTTTTGTTTCTGTTTTTTGAGACAGAGTCTCCCCTTGTTGCCAAGGCTGGAGTCCACTGGCATGATCTCAGCTCACTGCAACCTCCACCTCCCAGGATCAGGTGATTCTCCTGCCTCAGCCCCCCAAGTAGCTGGAATTACAGGTGTGGGCAACCACACCGAACTAATTTTTGTATTTATAGTAGAGACAGGGTTTTGTCATGTTGGCAGATTAATCTTGAACTCCTGTCCTCAAGTGACCTGCCCGCCTTGGCCTCCCAAAGTGCTGGGATTACAGGTGTGAGCCACCATGACTGGCCAAAACAATTTTTATTTGGAGGAAAATGTGGTGATTTACAGTCCACATCCCTAGATCCAGGTCAGAATCCCAGGAAGCTGATATTACGTCTTCCTCATCATCTCCCTCACCAATAAGCTGGTGCTGGTTATGAGACTGGGTGTTGGTAATCAGCCCCCACTCAGGGAGAACAATGGTTGTCATGGGAGGGGGTGTCATCTGAGAGCGGTGACTAACTTTATCTTGCCTCAGAGGATGTATACACATTCTGGCCTCATCCCAGGCTCCCCCAAACATTATATTTTCTTCTTCTTAACTTTGGGGAAAGCCCTGAACATTCAAGTGGTGTAGAGGTCTGGTCAGTTACTGTGCACCCAGAAAAAAAAAAATCTCAGATGAAACTACAGCTGCAGTCAAGGTGAGGACTTTTCAATCTTCTCATTTACTGCCTCCTCAAAAGCTCTGGGGGACTGGAAGTTTCTTGTCAGAAACAGAAGTTGGGCTGGACGCGGTTGGATCACCTGAGAAAGGGAGGCTGAGGCCGGTGGATCACCTGAGGTCGGGAGTTCGAGATCAGCCTGACAAACAAGGAGAAACCCCATCTCTACTAAAAATACAAAAAGTTAGCCGGGTGTGGTAGCGCATGCCTGTAATCCCAGTTACTCAGGAGGCTGAGGCAGGAGAATTGCTTGAACCTGGGAAATGGAAGTTGCAGTGAGCCAAGATCGCGCCATTGCACTCCAGCCTGGGCAACAAGAGCGAAACTCCGTCTCAAAAAAAAGAAAGGGAGATTGTCCTTGGGACCTCTGACTTCACGCTGTTCATAACCTACCTTAGGTCCTTAACAAGTGATTAGAAGTGCCATGTCTGTGTTTTGTTCCATGAGTCATCCAGAAGAACAAAAGAAACTGACATGAAAAGAGTCAGGAAAGATGAATGCCTAACCAAAAAGGGTCCAGACTTCAGGTAATGTAGAGAACTGCCCTGGAAAAATCTGAGTTTGTTTCCAAAGCCCCTGACAAGCACACCCCAGAGATATATAGGAAAGACAGTCTCTGGCATCAGGCTGGAAAACCTGTGGGAACATAGTGCTATCACATCTAAATACAAGACGAAATGGTGGCTCAAGGTTCAGGTTTGGAAAGGACACTATAATCTACTGTCTTTTCTTCTTGGAGCTACGGCCTTCAAGATGTGGCTTCTCTGTGTTCTGATCCCATTGAGGAATGTACAAAGAGATGAGGAAGAGGGTACTTAGTGACTGATTAAAGATTTCCACATCACGGAACTGGCTCAGCATGAGCCAAATCAGCATCTGTATAAAACATAAGAGTTAGCAGTAGACAGGGCACTCTGAAAAGGGTAGAGCTTGGAAGGGAGAGAGAATTAAAGGCTTCAAATATCTCCTTCTAGAACATTCCATGATGCTTCATGACAAGAGCAAAATCTAGAAAATGTCTTCCTGGCTCCAGAGAGTCAGTAGGGTGAAGGAGTCGATAGGCTCTTGCAAGATTCTTCTACTACAAATACCCATTAGAGATCACCCCCTCTCAATTCTCAACTCATTCCCTCATCACCCCTCCCTCACCTCCTTGAGGAATGCTGACTGGTTCAAAAGTGTGAATAAGAAATATTCTCTATACTGCACTTGAAAACTCCTATTAAAACAGAATCAAGCTCTCTTCTCTTCACCTTGCCTTTGGTAGGAATCAGGCCAGGGACTTTGGAGGTGGGGCAGTCAAGGTAAGAAAGAGCTCTGGAAATTTAAACATTGGTGTCCAGCAGAAAGAAAATGAAGGAATGGATGGGGAGACTTGCAGGCAAAGGGCAGTGGGCAGCTGTAGCTATGATATTAAGAGCACTTTGCATACATTTCTATATACCTGTGTTTCTCAAATGTAAGAAAGGTATAGTTCTGTTTAGAAGGGGAAAAAAGTCATTTAAGATCCTTAAGAATATATATAAGAACCCCAGGTTTAATAGTACTGGCTTTGGAAACTATACTTATTCAATGATAATATCTTGTAATTTGAATTTTTTTACATTACCACCAGATGAAAACTTTTCTCAGTAGTGTGTAAATTTCAGACATCCGAGAATACATCAAAGGATCACAGATTGGGAAACAGCTCTGCAAGTTCCCAACCCCAGCACCATGAGAGTATTTCTATGGAAACTCATCATTATTGCAACAGCAGTCATGCTCCCAATCTTCTATTTCATTGACGAAAATCCATTTGATACTGCAAGTTTCCTGTCTTTGGTGAGTATCAGAAATTTTAAGTGGGGCAGACTTTCCTGGACTGAATGAAAGAAAGCCTTTATCTGAGCGTATATTTAAATGAAACTGTCACAAATGCTATAGACATTCAAGGAAGAAAAAAGACAAGAAAGTTTGAGGAATCAACATACTTTTCCTTGACGAAGACAATAAGGGAAGAAACAGAATTCAGGGCTGGGAAGAAATAACACTGATTTAACGCTTTGGCAGAGTTGGCCCTTTTCTTATAGCAATTGATGAGGTAGAGATTTTTCTCCTTGTTTGGTAAGTTTCCTATTATACAAAAGTTCCCTTGGTTTTCAAAGTTATACGTTATCTGCCATTTTATGCATTAGAATCCTGACCCTAAGAACTGTTAAGTCATTTCTCCAAGTCAAGAAAAATTTTAAGGAGCAGAGAGAATTCCGCCAGAACCCAGAAAAGGCAAAGAATAGAAGGGAGGGTGGTGAATGAACTTGGAAGGGTGAAATGCCACCATGGGAAGGAATTTAGAGTGAAGCACTGGGGTGATCTTACCCGGCCTCCTGTATCTCTCATGCTTAGTACATGCTATGTCGTTCTTGGGACTAGGTGACCCATATCAGACTGTAATCATAAAGGATCATTGGGGGTAAAGAATGGCAGAGATGGATGTTGTCTCATTCCCTACATAAAACTAAGGAGAGCTAGAGAAATCCCAACTCCCTTCACTCCAGGCTCCATAATCTATATATGTAAGAACCCCTGGGGTAGAATTGTTTCAGAAGATAGGGAAGAAGTTGAATTGAGCCTGAGCAGCCTGCTCCATATCCTGGAGATAGTTTCATTGCGTTATGCAAAGGGAAATGTAACTAGCCATTTTTCCCAAAGGGGAGGAATCAGAGAACTCAAACTTACCCTTTTCTCAGAAGGAAAAGGAGATGGTGGCTTGGCAGAGAGCCCGAATGCAGATCAATCCTGGTAGAACAAACCACATGAAAACCTTCAAAGATATGCAGAGAAACTCAGAACCGCTCAAAACTGTGAACTCCCACATCTTGCTTGGAGCCTCTCCCACAGAAAAAAGTGAGTGTCCACAGCGGGTGTAGATCATCCAGGTTAGGCAAGCGTAGAGAGGGAAGGCTAGTGGAAAGGAAAGGGAACAGATAACTGGGGATGCCGAAACGAGGGATCAGGCCTATGGAATTTAGACTGCAGAAAATGGCAATTCTGACTCCATGAATCTCCCAGTCCCTCTTCTGACGAAACAAGGGAGATAATGGGAAAAAGCACAGGAAAAAACTAGGGGAAGGGGAACTGAGTAAAAGGGAAAGAAGCAGGGAGGGGGCGATGCAGTGTCTTGAGTGGGTAGTCTCCTCGGGTTCTGTGGGGCTCTAAAGACCATCTAATGCCTGTTACACATGCTGTGGTCCATGGACTGATAGCTAGCGTCCATGGACGTGAGCAGCATCTGGCAGCTTGTTAGACCTGTAGAATCCTAGGTCCACCCCAGACCTACAGAATCAGAATTTTCACTTGAATCAGACCCCCGCAAGGGATTGGTATGCACATCAAAGCCTGACAAGTATGCTTTAGTAGATTTGCAGCACAGAGGTGATTCTGGAGAGCACAGCCAGGACTGGGACATGTTTCAGATCAGCAAAATCAGTTTCAATGCTTTTTAGACTCCACGTGATAAAGACCCTGCCCTTTTCATCCTCAGTGTGGGCTACCCTTGTGGTCTTTACAGAACTTCATTTGTAGTATACAAACACATTCTCATTGTAAACTATTTCCATGCCATACATTGTAAGCATACTTATAGCAAATAAAAAGTGATAGTTCCTTCTTCTCCCTCATTCCTCTCCTCTCCCCCAGAGGTCTGATATAAGTACCCTTCTTGAGATCCAGATATCTTTCTGACATTTACATATATGCATGTCTGGGGGATTTTAAAAAGCCGTCTTACATATATTGTTCTGAAACTTGCTTTTTTCATTCATTAATAGTGCATGTTGGTTGGGTGTGGTGGCTCACGCCTGTAATCCTAACACTTTGGGAGCCCAAGGTGGGAGGAATATTTGAGTCCAGGAGTTTGAGGCTATAGTGAGCTATAATGGTGCCACTGCTCTCCAGCCCTGGGCCACACAGGGGAGACTTGTGCAGGTTTGTTATATAGGTTAACTTGTGTCATGGGGGATTGTTGTACAGATTATGTCATCACCTAGGTATTAAGCCTAGTACCCATTAGTTATTTTTCCTGATTTGCTCCCTCCTCCACCTTCCACCCTCCAATAAGCCCCAGTGTGTGGTGTTCTCATCATTTAGCTCCCACTTATAAGTGAGAACATGCGGTATTCGGTTTTCTGTTCCTTCTTGCATTAGTTTGCTAAGGATAATGGCCTCCACCTCCATCCATGTCCCTGCGAAAGACATGATCTCCTGTTTTATAGCTGCATGGTGTTCCATGTGTATATGTACACATTTTCTTTATCTGGTCTTTCATTGATGGGCATTAATGTCTCCATGTCTTTATTATTACAAATAATGCCACAATGAACATTCACATGCATGTGTCTTTGCAATAGAACAATTTATATTCCTTTGGGAATATACCCAGTAATGGGATTGCTGCGTCAAATGGTATTTCTGTCTTGAGGTCTTTGAGGAATCGCCACACTGTCTTCCACAATGGTTGAACTAATTAACACACTCACCAACAGTGTGTAAGTATTCCTTTTTCTCTACAACCTCACCAGAATCTGTTGGCTTTTGACTTCCTAACAATAGCCATTCTGACTGGTGTGAGATGATATCTCATTGTGGTTTTGATTTGCATTTCTATAATGATCAGTGATGCTGAGCTTTTTTTTCATATAACTGCTGGCCTGATGTATGTCTTCTTTTGAAAAGTGTCTCTTCAAGTCCTTTGCCTAATTTTTAATGGGATTGTTTTATTTTTTTTCTCCTTGCAAATTTGTTTTAGTTCCTTATAGATGCTGGATATTAGACCTTTGACGAATACATAGTTTGAAAAAATTCAGGAGGAGACCCTGTCTTGAAAAAAATATATATGTCTTGGCGAGTTTTTCCTTACCTCATTCTTTTTTTAACTGCTGTCATCAACATGGTATGGATGTAGAAAATTTACTTAACCATTCTAATTGATGAGCACTCAGTTGTTTTCCAGTTTTTATATTATAAACAACATCACAATTAACATATTTTTGTTAATTAAAAATACTTCTATGGGAAATATTTCTGTATGTGGAACTAATGAGTCAAAGAGTACATCCACTCTAGGTTTTGATTGATACCTCCAAACTGCATGGAAAAAGCACACTATTAATCACATCCATTTATGGATATCTATTTCCTCACAGTCTTGCCATTGCTGTTGTTGTTTGCCAATCTGAAGGGCAGAAAATACTTCTTTTGATTTGGTGATATTTGTGATAATTTGATATCCCTGATTATTGTGACGGTTGAACTTTTTTTATGTTTAAGGGTCATATTTATTTATTCTGTGAATGGTCTGTTGATATCCTCTGGTCATTTTCTATTGTGTTGATTGGTTTTTGTTGTTGATTTCCAGGAGTTTTTAAATATAAGAGTACTCATTATATATATTTTTTATATATAATTACATGTATCTGTTGTTAAATGTGTTCCTCTTTGCCACTTGTCTTTTGTTCATGATTATTTGTCATATGAATATTTTAAAATCTTTTTTTTTTTTTTTTTTTTTTTTTTTTTTTTTGAGATGGAGTCTTGCTCTGTTGCTCAGGCTGGAATGCAGTGGCGCGATCTTGCCTCACCGAAACCTCCACCTCCAGGTTTTACCATGTTGGCCAGGCTGGTCTCAAACTCCTGACCTCAGATGATCTGCCCGCCTCAGCCTTCTAAAGTGCTGGGATTACACGTGTGAGCCACCATACCTGGCTGAATATTTTAAAATCTTATATAATCATATGAAGGAAAAATGAAGCAGACAAGGAAAAAAAAGAAAGTTTTCTATAATCAGATTCATTCATGGTTTTCATGGCTTCTGGGTTTTATGGCTTTTTTGGGGGGGAAAAGTCCCTATTACAATATTATTTTTGGAAAACTTTTACTATATGCTCTTCAAATACTCTTATGGTTTTTCTTTTTTAGGTATAAATATTTGACATAGTTTAAATTTATTTTTAATTAGGATCTGAGCTAAATAATTAACTTTATTTACAATTGGATATCCTGTGATCTCAAAACCATTTACTGAATACTCCATCTTTTCCTCCCACTGAGAAGAAATGCCAACTTTGTCATAGAAGCTCCCATATAGGCATGGGTTTATTTCTGAAAATCATTTTGTTCCATTGACTTTTTAAATGTTCCTGTACTAATCCCATATGATTTGATTTTCTTTTTTTTTTTGAGACGGAGTTTCGCTCTTGTTACCCAAGCTGGAGTGCAATGGCGCGATCTCGGCTCACCGCAACCTCTGCCTCCTGGGTTCAGGCAATTCTCCTGCCTCAGCCTCCTGAGTAGCTGGGATTACAGGCATGCGCCACCATGCCCAGCTAATTTTTTGTATTTTTAGTAGAGACGGGGTTTCACCATGTTGACCAGGATGGTCTCGATCTCTTGACCTCGTGATTCACCCGCCTCAGCCTCCCAAAGTGCTGGGATTACAGGCGTGAGCCACCGCGCCCGGCATGATTTGATTTTCTAATGGTTTATTGTATATGTTGTTACGCTAATCCTTCCACCCCCACTTATTTATGTATTATTTCAAATTATTGTCTATTTTCCCCTCCAAATAATTAGCTTATTAAATAACATCATGAAAAAATACTCTTGACTGAGATTGCATTAAATATATAGATAAACTTGGAGTTCATTGATATTTCATAGTACTGAATCATAGCCAAACGTGGTGGCTCACGCCTGTAATCCCAGCACTTTGGGAGGCTGAGGCAGGAGGAATCACTTGAGGTTAGGACTTCAAGACCAGCTTATCTAACATTGTGAAACCCTGTCTCTATTAAAAATTTAAAAATTAGCTGGGAGTGGTGGTGGGCACCTGTAATTTCTGCTACTCAGAAGGCCAAGGCAAGAGAATCACTTGAACTCAGGAGGCAGAGGTTGCAGTGAGTCAAGATCGTGCCACTGCACTCCAGCCTGGGCGTCAGAGTAAGACCCTGTCTCAAAATAATAACAATAATAATAATAATGAATCAGACCATTCAAAAATGTGTTATGTATCTACATGTCTTCCAGTCTTCTTGTATGGGCTTTATTAAAGCTCTGTCATTGGTCATAGGTATATTCCTCTGTATATTGCAGTTCTTCACACTATGTGGCTTCCTTTTCCACTATGATAACTGGTTATTTTAAGTCTGAAAAAACACTGATGCTATTTTTGTGTTGATCTCACATCTCTCATCTTAATAAACTCTCTTGGTTTTTTTTGTTTTGTTTTGTTTTGTTTTTTGTTTTTTGTTTTTTCTTAATTGAGACGGAGTCTCACTCTGTCATCCAGGCTGGTGGTACAATCTCAGCTCACTACAACCTCCACCACCCAGGATCAAGTGATTTTCCTACCAGCCTCCAGATTACCTGGGACTACAGGCACCTGCCACCACGCCTGGCTATTTTTTTTTTGTGTGTATTTTTAGTAGAGACAGGGTTTCGCCATGTTGGCCAGGCTGGCCTTGAGCTCCTGACCTCAGGTGATCCACCTGCCTCGGCCTCCCAAGGTGCTTAGATTTACAGGTGTGAGCCACCATGCCCAACCTCTCTTTTTGGTTCTAATCATTCATCAGATTCTCTTGAGTTAGCTATGCAGATCATCATATCATTTGCAAATAGTGACAGCTTTGTCTCTTTTCGACATTTCTCTCTCATTTCTTACATTATTTCATCGACCATTTTAAATAGAAGCAAGCATCTTTGTCTTATTCCTCACTTCAGTAGAAATTCTTCTATAATAATCCATCATTTATGATGTTTTCTTAATTTCTAACTTATATGTGTTTAAGGTTTACAGTATATCAAAAGCACTTTTATCTTAATCTCTTCAGAGAGGATACAGTAGGTGGACT